TGAGATAGACGGGGACAAAGACAGGAGGTGAGATAGACGGGGATAAAGTTCAGCGACCAACAGCATCTAAAAGCCCATTCACAAAGGTCACTGCAGACTAAGGTTCCGACTCATTTTCTTTGATGTTAGTCTAAAGTGGGTTTAAAAAATCATAGGGGATTTACAGCATACACCTACAACATTTAAAAGTTGACATATTTTCCCCAACACCACTCTTTAACGTTCGCCCAAGAAACACGATTCAAGAGACGGGGTGAGTAAGTTTCGAGACTCACGTGGAGATACATGTGTATTGTTTTTCCAAAATTGTGTTTGCCTGCTGAGACCACGGTTACTGGTTACGTTTAGTAAAAAGCAGAGAGATTTTTGTATTGAACATTACCTCTCCACAAACTCACCATCCCGGACATATCCGATCATTTCGACTCACCATTCCTGACATATCCGATCATTTCGTAAAATCTGCACACACCAAGGAAAGAAATTCAATGCTTAGGTACTCTCAAGACCTTTGGCGTCATGAGTAGAGAAGTTCCCACAGTTTGGATCTATAGTGAATGGGAACTAAACATTTCCCTAAAAATGACCACTTCAGGTCGAACACGCACCATGCGCAGCCCTTTAAACGTCGCCAGGGTGCAGGTTTCAGTAGTCGAGTCCCATGAGACGTCTGTCCGTACACGATCTGCAGCTAGGACTTTCCTACACCTCAACAGTGTGCATTTTCAAGGCAGATTTTAACCTACGACTGTACCATTTTCACCTTCGCTAGGCCGAGATGACACGGATCAGAGCACGGCAATGGGTTCATGATTCCTCGATTGTCTTGAAAAGCGGGATCATTTCCTCGATGGCATTTGGTTTAGTGCAAAGCCCGTTTTTACCCTGTGGGGTATGTTAACTCCAAAAATGCTGCCTATTGGACACCGCACTCCCTATTGCCTCTAGAAGCCACTTCATACTGAATATGTACAGTGTATGTGGCTTTGAACATTCAATATGTACAGTGTATGTGGCTTTGAACATTCAATATGTACAGTGTATGTGGCTTTGAACATT